TTCTTTCAAAGGTATATGCAAAACCAAACGGAAACCAACCGTTTTGAGGGGTCCCCCAAAGAAAGACACACGCATCTACCAAAGGAATGCATGGCTTCTCTCTTTTTTCGGAGCTCAAAAGCTCAGCCCGACGGGCCATGCCCCTCTCCCACGAACAGTTAGAATAGAATATTTCATATACCGCAAGTTCTCCAGTTGAGACGGTTGACTCTGCTTTCTGGTGGCGAGGCTTTTGCAAGACTCCCCCAAACAACGTTACCAAAGCACACTTTCTCTTCATTTGTTCTCTTTCCTTGACCCCATCTGCGCGGCTCGATGCCATCAAACCTTTCGACACCATCAATTGGTAAATCTGTGTGAAATTGCCTTGTGACCCAGCCAATTGATTCAATAAACAACAGAGCCAGAGGGATTGAAGGAACCACTTGAAGTCACATGCGACCCTTGCTGAAATACTCTATCTGTCAAAGCATATTCTATCTGCTGGCCACCTGAAAGGGTGTTCAAATTTCAATCATTTGCGCAAATGTCACGAATTATTCTAAGTGTCACATGTGCTCTGAAAATATATTCTAACTGTACTACATATTCTAACTGAGTTGTTGGAGTAAATTATATTCTAACTTAGGAGCCGACGGAGTAAATTACATTCTATTTGCTAGCCCGAGACTATGTCTAGATGTGTATTTGTATAAGTAAGAAGCTTTGCTCAGGAGCAGTTTGCCCCTTGGCCTAAGAATGTGCGTGTGTATCATATGTATGTTTGGTTAATTGACGCTGTGTGAGTGTTGTTATGATGCTTTTGTTAACTTCCGGATTTTAGTATCGTAGTTTATTCAGTGGTTAACCTAGTTTCTGATGCTTCACATGCTTATAAAGGACAAGCCACTTATTTGCCTAAATATAAGCCTTCTTTCATTGAACAACAATAGTAAAAGATGACTCAGATATAACGCCACTCAACTGAAAGTGTAATGACAAAATGGGACATACCTCGAGAAAACAACACAGCAAAACAAACTACAACCACTTCCCAGTATTCAGAGTAAATAATAACTATTGTGTTTCCCAGACCCCCCGCCACCAGCCAACAAGGATGCCCCTTTTTTCCCATGGCCTCTAGTCATTTCAGCCCGGATGCATCCGGACCCCCAATACCACTTTTAGAATACGCCAATTCCAAATCAATACTAAACGTCGTGCCGATTTCGCGCCAGTTATATTAGGGCATTCCAGCACATTATTGAAAGTTTCATATTTACCTGTTTTGTAATGTAACGTAGTTTTGCTAATTGTAATTTCAATTGTAAGTTGCGCCTAGTACTTTTCAACCGCAAAGGCGAAAAAGCAACCTTGAACGGTTGTATTTAAACTCGCTACTCGGACATTGCGATTTTGATGGTTTTCGTGTCCGGGAAGCGGGGGAGCCCATTTGGACGAAGACCCAATTACCCTATCAATAAGAATCGTTTGCCCCTGACGCCGAGCCAATATTTATTAATAGGGGGAGCGGGGGGTATTTATTTTTAGGCCAGAACTTTTGTCGCATTGATGGCTAGTTCTCGAAAGACTGTCTGAAGATGTTTTGTGTTTTTTCCTCGTGTTTTTGAGTTAGACTCCTGTGAACTTAGTTTTAGGCACAGGCACAGCAAGAGCTAGACATACACATATGCACTGGAACAGCAGAAAATTCGGAATTTTGCAGTGAAAGAAAAACTGAACTCTGACAGTCCCCTTCTGTTCAAGTAAGGCGCTGACATGACGCTGCACACGTTAGAGAAACGGAGCGTTTTAGTTCGCATGGGTACCCCCTTGTGCAATGTCATCGCCCGAGCGTTTTGCTCGTCAGGCGAGCGGGGCGCTCCTGGCATGGCAGCACCTGACTTAGCACTATGCGGTCTATCCTGCACAGCTGGCAAACCTCCAGGTTTGCTTTGCATGTCATTAGCTTGCGCATGTGCAATGCTGGTCGGAACGCTGTCTTGTGTGTTGTCGGCCGGGTGCGCACGAAGGATGTCCTTTGGCGGTTTCAGCAGGGCGTTGGGCATGTTTTAGAATCCTGTGGGTGGAGCTCGCCAAGCATTTGAGTGGTTCAACATGACTGGAAATCGATCGGGGCAGATACCCTCCTGAATAGGAAAGGATGGAACCTCGTAAAATAAGTCCTGCAAGTCATCACCCTCCGCCTTAATGGTTGGCTTTATGGGGTGTTCATGCTTGTTGCGTTTCTCCAGGGCAATCAGATGAAGATTGCATGCGGGCATCATCTAGATTTAGAAGGTGACTGTGGTTGATCAGAAGGGATTCCATACATGTGGTGGGGATTGGGGTAGGCATTTGTGGGCGGCATGCCGTATGTCAATATAGTTTGGGATTCCATGATTTGCTATAAGACCTTCTGGGCTACGTACGACTGTTGAGCATTGGGGTTTACATTCCGGCAGATTTTAGGTGAAGCCTGCATCACTTCGGCATGACTTCGCGCGAGGAAACATGCTAGGTATGACCTTTGCGAGCTTGTTTTTTGATGAGATCCACCGACAAACGCACCTGAGCCACAAAAAACACCTCCACCCACAAAAGAGCCTCCAAATTCACCCGCCACTTTTGGGTCTCGCCCGAGGATTTACCGATTGCGCCCTCAGAGCTCCGGCTACAGCCTGGTTCAGGACGCTTTCCCAAGCTGAAAGAGTAAAGCCCTGGGAATACGAAAAACCAGTTCGACCCCCAGCCATAGCTCTTTGGGCAACGACCTGTTCTACTGTTGGAGGCCCACCCCTGGTTGCTTGCAGTTCAAAGGAGCGCTTGCAATGC